TCCTTCTCGCCGTGATGCCAACGCCGCGTTGCCGCCGACCCAGGCGACCCCGACGCCCGCCTCGCCGACCCATCACCGAACGCCATCGCCGCCGTCCTCTTCGTCGCCGGTGCCACGTCGTCGAGCCCCCCCGAGCCCACTTAGCACCCCTACAGGCTCATGGTGAGCCCCTCTGCCGATTCCCCGCCTCTCCCCTTCGAGTTCCTCGCCTTAGGAGCCCCGCCCGAGTTAGGCCACCATGGCCGGAGCTTCGCTTCGTGCGTGCCTTGGCCGCGCTCCCACGCGCCTCGGGCCCCTCCCCGCGCCCGCTCACCGCACTCCCTCATCGCGCCCCGCGGCCCCCCTGTCGCCGCCCTGCGCCCACGCCGGCGCCGTCCCTTGGCCGCTGCCGCTGCTCCAGTCGAAGCGGCGCCCCTGCCGAGCCCGCTCCTCCCTCCGTCCGCCCCTGTTCCGTGCGCCGTCGCAATCCCCGTCCTCCGCCCGGTTGGCGCCCGGCGAGCCCCGCCGTGGTCACCAACCCCCCCCTGCTCCGGCGATCTGTCGGCTCCGCCCGCCCCTGTGGTGCGCCCGAAAGAGCGGGTGCTGGGCACCGTTGCGCCCGCGCCCGTTCGGGCGACAACCGCGCGGCCATGCGCCCGAAAACCGCAAGGCCCCCTGGGGCCAATGACATGGGGGCCCCAGCCCGAGAACGTTTTAATAAAAAAATGAAATAAAAATAAATATATAATTAAGTAATTAATTAAAAATTAATTGATTAATAATTAAAATAGTTAATGAATTAATTAAGTTAATTAACCATGTTTAATTAAACTAATTAAGTAGATAGTTTAATTAAACCCTAATTAGACTAATCAGTCAATGACGAATGGGACCCACACGTCAGTTGACCAGTCAACGCCTCTGTTGACTGCTGACGTCGTGCTGACGTCAGCATGCACTGTTCCGGATAATGTTGAATTTAAATAATTAAATAAATCCTAAAAATGAAATTAAGTCTTTTAAAATTAATATAAAATAAACCGTAGCTCAGATGAAAAAACTTTGTACATGAAAGTTGCTCAGAACGACAAGACGATTCCGGATACGCAGTCCGTTCGTCCGCCACACACCCCTAACCTATCGAACTCGCAACTTTTCCCCTCCGGTTCATCTGTCCGAAAACGCGAAACACCGGGAATACTTTCCCGGATGTTTCCCCCCTTCGTCGGTATCACCTACTACCGCGATTGGGCACACCTAGCATCGTTACTTGTCATGTCATGCATCGATATGCATTTGTTTGCATTGTATTCATTGTTTCTTCCCCCTCTTCTCTCCGGTAGACTACGAGACCGACGCTGCTGCTGCCCAGTTCGACTACGGAGTTGACGACCCCTCCTTCTTGCCAGAGCAATCAGGCAAGCCCCCCCCTTGATCACCAGATATCGCCTATTCTACTCTATACTGCTTGCATTAGAGTAGTGTAGCATGTTACTGCTTTCCGTTATACCTATCCTGATGCATAGCCTGCCCTTGTTACTACTGTTGATACCTTTACCTGCAATCCTATATGCTTAGTATAGGATGCTAGTATTTCCATCTGTGGCCCTACATTCTTGTCAGTCTGCCTTGCTATACTATCAGGCCGTGATCACTTGGGAGGTGATCACGGGTATATACTATACATACATACATACTATACAGATGGTGACTAAAGTCGGGTCCGCTCGAAGAGTACCCGCGAGTGATTCATGGATTGGGGGCTGAAAGGACCTTTGTCCCGACAGCCCTCTGTGTGGCGGAGCGACAGGGCAGGTTGAGACCGCCTAGGAGAGAGGTGGGCCTGGCCCTGGTCGGCGTCCGCGGTTGCTTCATAATAACACGCTTAACGAGATCTTGGTATTTGATCTGAGTCTGGCTACGAGCCTATACGCACTAACCATCTACGTGGGAGTAGTTATGGGTATCCCGACGTCGTGGTATCAGCCGAAGCACTTCAGACGTCAGCGACGGAGCGGCGCGCGCCGAATTGGACTGGAACGCCACTAGGCTAGGTCTGCTTTCGGCCGCGTACGCAACGTGCAGGTGTGCTATGGGCGATGGGCCCAGACCCCTGTGCGCTTAGGTTTAGACCGGCGTGCTGGCCTCTCTGTTGAGCCTAGGTGGGGCTGCGACGTGTTGATCTTCCGAGGCCGGGCATGACCCAGGAAAGTGTGTCCGGCCAAATGGGATCGAGCGTGTTGGGTTATCTGGTGCACCCCTGCAGGGAAGTTAATCTATTCGAATAGCCGTGATCTTCGGTAACAGGACGACTTGGAGTTGTACCTTGACCTTATGACAACTAGAACCGGATACTTAATAAAACACACCCTTCCAAGTGCCAGATACAACCGGTGGTCGCTCTCTCTCAGGGATACGAGGAGGGGATCGCCGGGTAGGATTATGCTACTGCGATGCTGCTGGAGATGCTACTGGAGTTGTTACTTGGAGTTGCTATTTGGAGATTCTACAGTGGAGATGCTACTTGGAGGACTTCAATCTACTCTCTTCTACATGCTGCAAGACGGAGGCTGCCAGAAGCGTAGCCTTCGATAAGACTAGCTATCCCCCTCTTATTCTGGCATTCTGCAGTTCAGTCCACTGATATGGCCCTTTACACATATACCCATGCATATGTAGTGTAGTTCCTTGCTTGCGAGTACTTTGGATGAGTACTCACGGTTGCTTTCTCCCCCCTTTTTCCCCCTTTCCTTTCTTTCTTGTTGTCGCAACCAGATGCTGGAGTCCAGGAGCCAGACGCCACCGTCGACGACGACCCCTACTACACCGGAGGTGCCTACTACTACGTGCTGCCCGCTGACGACGACCTGGAGTAGTTTAGGAGGATCCCAGGCAGGAGGCATGCGCCTCTTTCGATCTGTATCCCAGTTTGTGCTAGCCTTCTTAAGGCAAACTTGTTTAACTTATGTCTGTACTCAGATATTGTTGCTTCCGCTGACTCGTCTATGATCGAGCACTTGTATTCGAGCCCTCGAGGCCCCTGGCTTGTATTATGATGCTTGTATGACTTATTATGTTTTTAGAGTTGTGTTGTGATATCTTCCCGTGAGTCCCTGATCTTGATCGTACACGTTGCGTGCATGATTAGTGTACGATTGAATCGGGGGCGTGACAACCTATGACACTCATTGTTGACCAAACTAAGGGAATTACTGTTTTTGACATGTTCGTGGTAACTTTGATCATTGGGAATAAATTTGTTGAACCCGCCCCCCCGGTAATTTCTATAAATAGCACGATAACATCCACGCCATAGACCTGATAATTTAGATACAAACATCATGGTAACTTTAACCATTGGGGAAGACAAATGTGAAAAGATACCCGATAATTTATGTGTAAATAGATGGTAATATACGCAACGCACATCTGATAACTGAGGTAGAAACACCATGATAACTTTGACCGTAGGGATTTTTTCTTGAAAAGATACTCCGGTATCTTCTGATGTAAATAACACGGTAGTATACCTCTCTTCCCTGGCATTTTTATGTGTAAATAGCATGAAAACATATGCACTGCGACAACTAAACACCATGATAAGTTTTTGACCCATGGGGGGGGGGGATTTGCTGAAACATACCCTTGATAAATTTTGTGTAGATGGCATAATATTTTAAGCACTATGGGCTTGATAGGTTACCTAGAATCACCCTGATAACTTTTTGTCATGGGAAAAAGTTGTTCAAAACATCCCCAATATTTTTTGTGTAGATAACATGATAATATAAGCACTGCATAACCGATAACTCGCAATATAAACATGATGATAACTTTTTTACCAAAGGAAACTAAGTTGTTAAAAATATACACTCGCCTCGCGCGTGGGCCTCTTGGATGAACACAATACATGGCATGCCACCGAAAAGTCACATAATGTTTAGTGTCATGAGGGGCACACGTGCTATAGGCGTGATAAGTTACGCAAAAATATTGTGGTAATTTTTGACCTATGGAAAAAGCTACCGAAACACACCCAGGTTTTTAGGTGCAAGTACCATAATAATATGCGAACTGTAGACCCGGTAACTCATGTACAATCCCTCATGGTAACTTTGACCGGGGGGAGGTTGATGTAAATATACCCTGATAACTTATGTATAAGTACCACGGTATGTTACACAACGAAGACCTTATAACTTGTGTACAAAACACAATGGTAACTTTGAAGGGATGTAGTTGTTGAAGCATGGATACCTGGTACGTTATATGTAAATAGCACGGTAAGTTATGCAACACAGGCCTGATAACTTGCATACCAATACCATGGTAACTTTGTCCTGAGGAGAAATCATGTGGTAGACGTGAAGAAGTGGCAGTTTTCTCGGGGGTGGGCGCCCAAGATGTATGGGAGAAGCAGATTTCTCGGGCGAGCCTACGGAGTCGTTTGGGAGGAGGCGAGATCAAAGGACGAGGGATCGTGTGGTATTTTAAAATGAAAGAAGTAAAAATGTGACAGTTTTGCTTATATGACACACGTGTGCTAAATATCACAGTCCTTCTTCAAATACTTCAAAATTACTTTGTTATCAAACAGATATGCTTAGCACCTCGTCTTACCACCGGTGCATTGGAAGAAGCCTGCTAGCCCTCCCATCAATCGGTCAGCGAGAAGCCGTGGGAGAAGCAGCGCCGCCCCAGTCCCAAGAACGGCTGCGGAAGCGGAGCCACTCCCCCTGTTTGCGCTGAGTGAGGAGCCGCGCCTCTCTCCGCAGTGCGTCTGCGTGCCACCGCCGCCGCCTCCTCTCCACCGCGCGCCAATGCGGACGCCGAGCCGGCCTATCTAGCGCCGCCCGCCGCCGCCCGCCACGCCAGCCGCACCTTCACTTGGACTCTTGGGGTGGCTTCGGCTGCGCCTGCTCCAGCCTACCCAGCGCTCACCATGTCGTCGTCCCTGGCGTCCTCCTCGTACCGCCGCAGGATCCTCGACTCCAAAGCGGCGGCCTCCCACGCGCTCTACTCCTGCCGCCTCCCCTCCCGCTCCGGCTCCAGGCAGCCTGCACACACCAGGATTGGCGACACCGCCAGAGGTAATTAAAAAAAAGAAAAACCTTCTCAGCTCCAGCAATCCAAATTTTTGTTCTTGTGTCGGACGCACTGAAGCTGTTTGTGGAAATGCGAGTCGGTGCGCCTATCGCCTCCTCTGCGCCTATGCAGAGCTCTCCGTAGCCTTAAGGCTTGGGACTCTGTCCTGATTTTTACTGGTTCACCCTAGTTCGCGAGTGTACGCCAAAGTTTGCACAGATTGAAATGTGTCGAATCTACAGCTAAGATACCCATTAAAAGATATTGCCTGCCTTGGTTGTTCTTGAAGAACTAGCCCTGGTATCACATAAATTTATTTTTCTTGCTATCATAGATCATTCTTTATTGAATTCTGTCAATTTTATAAATTCTGAATAATTGGAAACTGTGGAGCCAGGCAATGCTCAGAATTATGATTTTTTTTCTCGGTTCGATTACTATTTCTGAGTGCAAAATATCTCTGTATTGGACTTAACTAATGCACACAAGTTGCTTGTGGTAATGTCTATTAAACTGTTATGATGCATTCATCATTTTTGTATTTTCCTGCTTAAGTTAGTACTTGGTGAGTGCATTTCAATCAATAACTTGGTTGATTTCTTGTTGGCATTTACCAAAATGAGCTACATCGCATAAGTGATACCAGCCCCTACAGCTTTCTAGGATGTCAATACAGATTTGTTGGCTTCAGCTGATCCTTTGCGTATTTAACTTGTTTGAATTTTATTGGTTGCTTCTCATCTGCAATACTAGAAGTATTCGACGCCGATGCAGTTTTGCCTCTTTTGACGTTGCATCATTTTGTTGTTGTATTGATTTGGTTATCTGTTTCAGCTCATGGTGTTGAGAGTAGCATCATCAGTGTCCTAACTATGCATCACTGGGAGACCTTGAATCACATGGCGTACAAGTTTGGGAAGCTTGACAAGGTTCATGGAAAGCTAGCCTTGAAGATACTGGGCTCTATTGTGCAACAATCAGGTTTGGAGCGAATCACTCATGTTTACTGCCTGGCTGCTCATATCCTCATCCAAGCTCAAATGCATTCGCAAGCAATGTCAGTGTTGAAACATCTTGCCATGGCGGGCTTCTCTTGCTCTGCTATATTTAGCTCCCTTCTCCGAACTATCTCGCGCTGTGATTCCAATCCCATGGTTTTTGACCTTCTTATCAATGCATATCTGAAGGAAAGAAAAGTTGTTGATGCAAGTAAGGCAATTTTATTGATGGATGACTGTGGATTTAAGGCTTCAACTCACACCTGCAATGCTGTCCTTAATGCTCTTGTGGAAGTTGGGGAATCAAAAAATGTTTGGTTCTTCTTAAAAGAAAGTTTGGCCCGGAAGTTCCCGTTGGATGTCACCACTTGTAATATTGTACTGAATTATTTTTGCCTTGATGGTAACCTTAGAAAGGCTAATCTTATGCTACAAAAGATGAAGAGTCGGTCCATATCAAACGTTGTTACTTATAACACAATACTTTACTGGTATGTTAAGAAGGGAAGGTTCAAGGCTGCCATGCGTGTCTTTAAAGATATGGAGAAGAATGGTGTAGAGGCAGATGTATATACTTATAACATCATGATTGATAAGTTATGTAAAATGAAGAGGAGTGTGCGCTCTTACCTTTTGCTCAAAAGAATGAGGGAAAATAACTTATCACCTGATGAGTGTACATATAATACTTTGATCAAGGGATTTTTTGATGAAGGTAAGATGAAACTTGCTATCTATATATTCAATGAAATGCTGAAACAGAGCTTGAAGCCAAGCCTAGCTACTTACACTACCTTGATTGATGGGTACTGCCGAAGTGGGGTAACTGGTGAAGCTTTAAGAGTTCTGTATGAAATGCAAGTTGCTGGTGTGAAACCAAGTGAACTAACTTATAGTGCAATGCTGAATGGTTATTGCAAAGCTTCCATGCCGGGACATGCGCTGAATCTTATTGAAGATCTGAAAGCAAGAGGCACAACAATCAACAGGACTATGTATACTATCCTGATTGATGGTTTCTGTCAGCTAGGAGTGGTTTCTAAAGCCAAGCAAATTTTAAAGAGTATGCTTGTGGTTGGGATCAATCCAGATGTTGTTACTTATTCAGCACTGATCAATGGTATGTGCAAGATGGGTAAGTTGGATGAAACAAAAGAGATTTTGTCAAGGATGCAAAAAACAGGAGTTTTGCCTAATGAGGTTCTTTATACAACTCTAGTTTGCTATTGTTGCAAGTCTGGGTATGTCGGAGAAGCACTAAAGTATTTTGTGGATATATATCGGAGGGGCCTAGCTGCCAATTCATTCATCCACAATACATTGTTATGTGCGCTGTATCGAGAAGGAATGGTTACACAGGCTGAGCAATTCAAACAATACATGTCTAGGATGAAGATATCATTTGATGTTGCCTCTTTCAACTGTATAATAGACTCTTACTGCACCAGAGGCAATATGCATGAGGCATTCTCTGTGTATGATAATATGCATAGATATGGCTGTTCTCCAAATGTGGACACATATAAGAATTTGCTTAGAGGGTTATGCAAGGGAGGCCACTTGGTACAAGCAAAGGAGCTCATGGCCTGCCTTGCTGACATACCTTCTGCCATTGATCAGGAAACCTTCAATGCATTACTTCTGGGGATTTGCAAACACGGAACTCTAGATGAAGCTCTGGATTTATGTGAGAAAATGGTTACAAGTAATTTTCTACCTGACATCCATACTTACACTGTTCTTCTTAGTGGTTTTTGCAGAAAAGGCAAAATTGTTCCTGCAGTCATCCTGTTGCAGATGATGTTGGAGAAAGGGTTTGTCCCTGATATTGTTACATATACCTGTTTGTTGAATGGCTTGATGAAGGAAGGCCAAGTTAAGGTTGCTTCTTACCTGTTCCAGGAGATCATATGCAAGGAAGGTATGTATGCAGATTGTATTGCCTACAACTCAATGATGAATGGGTACCTAAAAGCAGGAATGATACATAAAGTAGATATGACGATTCAGGATATGCATCATAATGAGGTTTATCCTAACCCAGCCAGCTATAACATTCTTATGCATGGGCACATCAAGAAGGGACATTTGTCAAGATCTGTTTATCTATACAAAGATATGGTGAGGAAAGGGATTAGGCCAAACAATGTGACATATCGTTTGCTTATCCATGGATTTTCAAAACATGGTATGACTGAAATTGCGATTAAGTTCTTGGACAAGATGGTCTTAGAACGCATTTATCCGGATAGATTAACGTTTGATGTACTCATAACTGTATGTAGTGAGAAATCTAGGATGTCCAATGCTCTACAGCTCTTCAACTGCATGAAGCGGTTATATATGTCACCTAGCAGTAAAGCATACAGTGCCATGATAAATGGATTAATCAGGAAAAATTGGCTGCAGCAGAGTTGTGATGTTTTACGTGACATGGTTGAGAGTGGACTTGAACCGAACCATATACACTATATTGCATTAATCAATGCAAAATGCAGGCTTGGGGACATCAATGGAGCATTCAGGCTGAAAGAGGAAATGTCAGCTCTTGGTGTTGTGCCAGCTGAAGTTGCTGAAAGCTCAATTGTTAGAGGTCTTAGTAAATGTGGAAAGGTAGAAGAGGGCATCATAGTTTTCTGTAGCATAATACGGGCTGGAATGGTGCCAACCGTTGCTACTTTCACTACCCTAATGCATGGTCTCTGTAAAGAAGGCAAGATTGCAGATGCTCTGCATCTCAAAGGGTCAATGGAGTTGTATGGATTGAAGATTGACGTAGTCACTTATAATGTTCTAATCACAGGTTTATGCAACAACCAGTGCATTTCTGATGCGTTAGATCTTTATGAAGAGATGAAATCTAAGCAACTTCGGCCGAACATTACAACATACGCCACAATGATTGGGGCTATCTATGCAACAGGCAGAATGCTGGAAGGAGAGAAACTACTGAATGATATAGAGGATAGGGGCTTTGTTCCCTCATATAAGGATCAAATTCTTGAATGGAGGATGGAGAATGCAATGAGAAGGTTAAACGTGATAAGAAATTGCAAAAAGGAAATAACTTCTAAGAATGAGGTCGAGCTATTACATGCAGATCATGTATCCATGCATAAAGCTGCTGAAGACTGAAATCCTCGTAAATTAACCTTTTCTACTTCAAACTGGTATGTTTGATCGATATGGTAGGTACAAATCTATGTGTATTTTTCTTGCTTCTGCCTGTGAAACCTTATTTCATGGTGCTCACTGCTCAATCATTGAGGGTTCCGTTTTTAGATATTTTGGATAATCCTGTGTCTCCGACAATTAATTAGCTGTTGTATTATGTTTTTCATCTGCCCTGTTTGTCGTAACATTGTTTATTTTCTTTATAATCCATTTGGTATTTGCTGAAAAAGGGTTTAAATTAAAACATGTGTAACAGTGTAAGAAACATCTCATATGTTGAACTGGAGCCTGGAGGGGAGATAATTGAGTGTTAATGAGGTTTTAACTTGTGAGCGGTTATAGATAAGCAGGTAGCCATAGATATGCATAGAGATGGGAGTGGTCGCAGATAAGCAGGTAGCCATAGACATGCATAGAGATGGGAGTGGTCGCAGATAAGCAGGTAGCCTCTTGATTACTGTCCCTCCCATACAGTTTTCGGTTCAGAAAAATGGTAGCCTCTTGATCCATGGCACAGATAGTTATTTTCATTGCATGAAGTTAACTTCCAAAATAAAGTCACACATGGTTTAGGCCAAACACTGCACTGGCACAACCTGTCTCTAATTAAGCATCATTGGATTTTATGGGTCACGAAGCGTTGAATGAAGCTCATCAATAATTTCTTAGGTTGTAGTCATGGTGGGTTGATCCTATTTTTTGGCGTCTTCTGATATCCTTCCTGTGATTTTTTATTACAATTATTTCGTGTTGTTGCGATGCAGCAGGTTCATAGTTTGATGGGGATGCTTCTATTTGTTGATGACACTGAGATTTAAATAAATATAGAAGATGAAGACTTTGGTGTCATAATTTACAGAAAAGCAAAAGACAGACTAAGATGATGGTAGCCATGCATAGGTAAATGAAAAATCGAGTTCCCATCTGAATTGTGTGCAGATGTCAAGAATGCTTTGAATCTTAGAGAAGGAATTATGATTGTTCCTCTTCTATGAACAAGTAATCGCTAACTGGGATTTCTCTTGCAGGAAAACATCAGTACGGAGAACATGATTATCTCACTTCATCAAGGACAAGAATACAAATATGTTCAGGAGATGAGAGAAGTCCTTCCTTTGGACCCAGGGCATGTCACTCTCGAATAAATCAACTTTGCAACAGCAAGACCTGTTCCCATTGGCCAAGCCTCCATGGAGGTGAATTTCTTGAGTTAGACCTCTTACCTGTTTATACCTTTGATCCCTTGTTTTTTGTAACTGATATGCACTATTTGAGGAAATATGCAAGGCTGCAAGAATATTATAAACGGATGACAGCTTTTGTTATGTGGAAAATTCCCTACCGGAGGATTGGAATCCACTTAGTGCGTGGCTAGGCATCGGTTGGAGTAGGACACAAGTCATAGGATCCAGTCAGGATTGGTAACCTGTCGGATCAGATTAGGAATGATTATCAAGTTTGGATTGTCGCAAGAGTCTTAGGTAATTCATTAACATGTTTAGGAAGGAGTCTGTGTTCAGTTGGAGTCTCACGTGCAAGGTCATTGTGCATCCTCTTTAAATAGAGGCAGAACGGCTGATCTAGCCAAGCTATCAATAAAGAAATTCTTAGGCCTGAATCCCCCTTCTATCTCCTACATCCATTACCTTCCCTAATGACAGCAAACTAATGGCATGACACCAGCCAGCCAGTGGTTCGTTGACCCGAGAACACCTCTTGGGCACGGTATCAACCTAGGTCCAATGGATCTAACAGTTTTGAAATGAATGGACAAAGTGGTGGGTTTAGCCGGTGATGATGTTTTTTTTTATTCTTAGTGTTTGTTTACTGATATGAACAATTATGACTATGATTGTTGCACTGCATGACATCATGTAGTATTGCTGCCTGGTGATAATTAATTTATGAGAATATGGACAACTGTGATGTGCCTCTTTTCATGAATAACAGATTTATAATGCCTACCATCTGTAGTTCATGAGAAGATATGCGAGCAAATGCACCATAACTCTCATTCATCGCTCCGACTCTGATCATGAAGTCTAGCTCGTGTTATCAAGGAGTTCCCCTGCAGCTAGCTACCTTGGCATGCCCTTGTTTATTAGGACGCTGCACAAGCAGGACTTGCAATCTCCTAGATAAGGTGATTGCCAAACTCCCTCCCTAGCTGGAAGGCTAGCATGTTCAGACAGTTGGTGCTCACAAAGACGGTCCTCTTGTGCTTTCCCGTCTACCACAAGTTATTGCTTGTGATCCTGGCCTGGCTGATCAAGGCAATTGACAATTGTTGCAGAGCTTTATCTAGAAAAGGACGGAAGCAGTGATGGGAGGTCACTGCCTAGTGGCCTGGGACAGAGTTGCTTCAGTTGATCTTGTGAGATTATGCTTGGGTGGTGGAATCCTAGCCGTGGGGACCCTGATAAAGCTGGTTAGAGTTGTGATAGCAGCCCCAAGGCAAGTGGATGCTTTGATGCCGAGGTGTCCTTCCCGGCAGATGGGTTTGGACGCAGCTGGAGGTGTGCACTGAATTTATCCGGGCTGAGGGGTTTCTCGTTCCTCCACTCCAATGGTATGTACACCGCTGACTGCAATGTCTGTTTGATTGATTCTCAGCTGTTTTTTACCATCAAGCCAGTTAGGTATTCACAGCCTGAAGATTTGGTTGATGAAATAATTAAATTGGATTTGATAGCAAGAGTTTAATGATGAGCTGTTTGGAGCTAACGATGGGGAATTCTTGTTGTAGGCTTGTAGCACTTGTGCTGTAGGAGCTAGAACTTCATTCTGTTTTTGAAATGTGCACCAGAGATTAGTTGCAGATGATAGGGCTTAGCCAATGGCATTCCAAGCATTTTTTTCTCCTGTGGTGCACTTTCTACCAGAAGCTTCAGTAAAATGTTTTCTCCTGTATTTTTTCTGAAATGGAGGCAAAAGATTTGTCTCATCGAATTAATTAAGCAAAAAGAGAGTTGCCTAGTTAATTAGCAAAAATCCGGGCAAATACCGATGCAGATAGACCACACTAAATGTATGAAACCCCACAGCCACACAGGTGGCCAACACAGTTGTGTGCTTAATAGAATAGTTTGTGTGATTTTGAGTTTTGTACGGACTGAGGAGACGCCATGCTGTAATTTGTGTGATCTCATTTCCCTTTTATTTGTAGATATGATATATTCATATATTTGGTTTTCATTCTGCTACTACTTAATTCAGCGACGGGTTCTAAGCTTACATTGCTTGGTTTCAGTTCGTGCCTCTTGGTTCCTAGTGCAGGTCAAGACTTGGGTGGGAGATGGTTACCCACATGTTTTCTTCTGCGGGAGAGGTGTCATAAGGTAGGTATGATTGGCTTCATCCAGCCCTAAAAGGCGAGACAGTATGATTTAGACCTCTGTGATGTGGTTTTTATTGGTTCTTGTACTAGGTAAGGAGAAAATTTTCATGGGAATGGTGTATGAGCAGAGCACTAAAGACATCCAATTGTTGCCCATATGTATGATAAAAATATTGTTATCTGTGCTACTGTGTAACCTTGTTCATGACTGTTTTATTCAGTCCTGACCCAACACATTAGTAACTATGTATACAATATTGTTCAATGTTTTTATCCAGGAACTGTTGAATGGTAAGTTGAAGAAGAGAATCACGTCATGTTTTTATGACTGTTTTTGTTGTATATACAAAATATGTTTTTGTGCGGGAATTATATGTTATATGCTACGAAAACATGTCATAACAATATACTGTTAGAAATGTTTTAAATACTGCAATTGTTTGTTAACTTATCATGAAAACCTTAAATACGAAATAGGCGTTTTTTACGGGTCTTAGTCGACTGAGCATTTTTTTGATCGGGTTTTACAAAGCTCAGCCTGGCCAAGGTCGATGTCTATCCATTGCCAAGTCATGTAAATCGTGTCTTAAAACCTTGGTTAAACCAAGGGTGCTAGGGTCCGAGGGCGAAAAACAGCAGCCACCGCAGCTGGAAATTCTTTCGGTCTCCTCACCTCCGTCAGCCATCTTGTCTTGATGCTGATAGGTGGAGAACCTCCTATTTTTGAGAATTTTTGTGACCATTGTCCCTCGTTAGCGTCTTTCTGGTGGTGGTCGTGTTGTTTTTACAAATAAAATTCTTGTTTTTTTTCTGGTGGTGTATCTAGTCAGAGAGGTTTGTGCCTTCGCAGAGCCGATTATTCGGATCGAATAAATTTATGTTATTGTGTCATATTGCTTTTGTTGATTTGATTTTTTGTAGAGTTGAAATCTTTTCTTCACACAATGGTAAAGATCTCGTGGTTCGACGACCTTCATTTCTTTTCGTGATAATCTACAGTCCAAGACCGTTCATTGGTCATGGCTTGTCATCTTTTTAGTTGGGTGATTCAAAGGACTTCTAGAAACCTTTTCTTGAAGGTAAAAGAGTGGCAATGCCACTACCCCGGTTAAACTGTACCTCCTCCGTATATTATTATAAAAAGTTTTAGATATTTCAATATGAATTGAGATGAACAAACAAACACACTAAAATGTGCCTATATTTGATTTAGCATTTATTTTTTGTAAAACAACTTATAATAATGAACAGAGGTAGTAGTTTCTTTACTGATATCTTGGCACTATTCTGTCTTGCAAAGATTAAAATCATGGAGAAGATGTCACTGAGCTATTTCGGTAGGCATGCAGGCTGCAAGATGAAAATTAAGACTAGCACGATTATTAAAGTAAAAAGGTTTAGTTTGTTTTTGGCTTCGCGGACACCTTCCGCCTGCATCCCTATATTTCAATATGGTAGAAGTTGCTCTGTAGATTCTTGGAACTTGAATTCGAAGTATTGAATATATAGCGATTGCGAGTATGAACAAAGTTATATGCACAAAAACTTGGTTAAACCTACATAGACTACTTTTAAACAAACAAAAAAGATCTGGTATGACTTCCTCTTGTTTTCTCTGCTAACT